AGGGGAAGACATCAGGAACTTACTGATAATTTATGCCAATAAAGGCTGACTTGACTTGACTTGACATCAGGAACTGGTTGGCCACTGTGTGAGACTGAGACAGGATGCTGGACTAGATGGACCACTGGTCTGATCCAGCAGGGCTCTTCTTATGAATGTCACTATGTGGTTATGCATGTTATTTTTCAAATGAGTTTTGCTTTCAAGGTAAAAGAGTTTAAGACATCCCCCATTGAATTCCATTATGCAACAGAGGAAACAAGTCCAACAAAGAGTACTTTTGGACGGGCTACGGGCTTGTCAACTGTGCTGTTAACATGGAGTGAGCCTACTAGACAACCAATCTGGTCTTAGCTGCCCACAGCACCATGGGGTTCCTTTGCAAGATTCCCTGGTGAGACCTTGGACTATTTGCACACTGAATCATCTGATACCTCTAAAAGCCTGGTAACTATGGAGTACCTGTATTGTGTAGTTAGAGCTGAACAAGCTATAGATATAATTTGTTTTCTTACCTTTTGCTAGTCTCATGTTATATACATGCTTTTGCACTGAATAAAGATAATATATAATCAATATTATCTGGACTTGTTTCCTCTGTTGCAACCTGATTTCTAAGTCTGAATCTTGTGTCTAAGCCGTTCGCCTAAGGAGGCTACCACTGTGTTAATTAATTGTTTGCAGCCCTGGTACAGAGCTGGTAAAGTTGATAAGGCCTATAACTCAGGCAGGAGTTGGGATCTCTGCTCCTGATCTTTGGTGGGGACCTTTTGTGAGAGATCCTGGTGGCAGTAACTACTGGTAAAGCCTGGAGAGTGTACAGACATTCTCCTGGAGTTTGTTTAATTGTTGCTGAATGCTTGGTTTAACTCCCATCCCTGGACTGGGGTGAGAGAGAAACCTTGACACTGACCAGCTTGGATAACTTCACCCCACTGAAGAGAAGAAACCTTCAGGTAAGTTTCGATATTTTGTTCTAGTATTTTGGGAGAGGGAGAAAAAATTATGTTTGTCAACTCTCTTCACCTCATTCATAATTTTATAAACCTGTATCAAGTCCCTCCCTTAGTCATCTCTTTTCTAAACTGAAAAGTCCCGGACTCCTCAGCCTTTCCTCATAGGGAGGGTGCTCCAACCCCCTAATCATCTTGGTTGCCCTCCTCTGTACTTTTTCCACCTCTGCAGTGTTCTTTTTGAGATACGGTGACCAAAACTGTACACAGTATTCCAAATGGGGCAGCACCATAGATCTATACAGGGGCATTACAGTATTGGCCATTTTATTCCCAATCCCTTTCCTAATCATCCTTGCCTTTTTTAACCTCTGCATCACACTGGGTTGGACACTTTCATTGAGCTATCCACTATGACCCCAAGATCTTTCTTTCTTCTCAGTCTCAGCAAGTTCAGACCCCATCAGCCTATACTTGAAGTTGGGATTTTTTGTCCCACTGTGCATCACCTTACACGTAACCAACACTGAACTTCATTTGCCACATTGTCTCCCATTCACCTAGCTTGTGGAGGTCCTCTTGGAGCTCTTCACAGTCAGCCTTGGTTTTCATCATCCTAAATAATTTTGTGTCATCTGCAAACTTGGCCACTGCACTACTCACCCCTAGTTCCAGATCATTGATGAATAAACTAAACCATATCGGCCCCCAATACCGATCCTTGTGGGACCCCACTGCTTATTTTCTTCCTCTGTGAGAACTGTCCATGGATTCCTACTCTTTGCTTCCCGTTGTTTATGTGATGTATATTATTTTCAAGAGTCTGTGAAGTCATGAGCTTGCATCATACTGACTTGCACGTGTGCCCGTCATAGGTTTTTCATTTTCTGCAGGTTTTTCATACAAATGAGTGCTTCTCAGGTCAAACTAGTAAATAATGAGTCACCCACAAGTTCAGCTCATTTCCTATCTCTTGATGAAAAGGAGAGAGGTTGGTTCCAGGCATGAGAGCTCAGTTTAAAGCCAAACAGTAATTTCTTTGTAGTGGCACATGACTCATAGGAACAAATGTCTCTCATGGGGATTTCAACAACCAAAACAAAAAAGGCAATGTTAAGAAGATCTGTTGGGAAGAAAAGAGCCAAGCAAACGAAATGCATTTTCACACATGATGGTAGAATTAGTTTGTGCTGATACACAGAAGTGACATGTGAATGTGAGATCTACACTGGCTATGGTTTGTTTTCTCCCACCTTCATCTCTTTGACCCACTGAGCTTCCTCAGCCCTGGCCTAAAAGTGGGAGCCAGCACAAGGAGGTGGCAGGATCCTCGGCCAGAGTAAAGCTTCAAGTGTTCTGTGAGGTTAAGCCACTGACCTCCAGGGGCCCAAGTAGCCCATTCGAACACCTGATGGTCTGGTTTTGCAAACTGTCTGCAAGGGGCACCTTGGGGTTTTTTTTGTAGATAAGAACATAAGAAGAGCCCTGCTGGATCAAACCAGTGATCCAGCACTGTTTCTCACACCGGCTGACCAACAGCCACTGGGACACAAAAGGGGGCACAGAGGCCTTCCCCCAATGTTGCCACTTTACATGGGTATTCAGTGGTTTGTTGCCTCTAGATGTGGAGGTTGCTTTTAGCCACCATGGCTAACAGCCATTGATGGACTTATCCTCCATGAATCTATGTTTTCAACTGTGCAAAAAGGGTAAGTGAGCATGCATATTCATATACTGGTCTCCCACAGCTTCCCCCTTGTGTCACCACTACTGTTGTTTGCTATATTCTTCAAGCACATCAAGCATTTACATTTCACAGATGGTGACTGAAAAAATGTTAAGAGTCTCCTTCTTTCCCCATTCATGGAAAATGCAAGTGAATGCAGCTTCCCCCGTGTGTCACCACTACTGATGTTTGCTGTATTCTTCAAGCACATAAAGCATTTACATTTCACAGATGAAAAAATGTTAAGAGTCTCCTTTCCCCATTCATGGAAAATGCAAGTGAATTATCTACACTTGGAAACATTTGGGCATGTGTGTTCTTGCAATGCTTTGGCATGGCTGCTAACCCCTCCCCCCATGATTTTCCACACAAAGGGGAAAGAGCAACTTACAAAACAGGTTGTCACGTAGGACGAGGAACCTCTGTCAATTTGTTTCAAGTTCCTAGGCTTGGAGCTGTGCTACTACTACATAACCCATTCTCAGCCAAAAAAAAGATGAAACTGACCAAAGCTTTCAGTGATTAAGAAAGTCTTGGTCAATTTCAGTGTAGGGTCTAATGCAGTAGTTCTCAACCTTCCTAGTGCCGCGACCCTTTAGTACAGTTCCTCATGTTGTGGTGACCCCCAACCATAAAATTATTTTCGTTGCTACTTCATAACTGTAATTTTGCTACCGTTATGAATCGTAATGTAAATATCTGATATGCAGGATGTATTTTCATTGTTACAAATTTTCTGATGGTCTTAGGCGACCCCTGTGAAAGGGTCGTTCAACCCCCAAAGGGGTCGCGACCCACAGGTCTAATGTATTATTAGGAGGAGACCTGAGAGATAAGGAATTTGAAATGACATTGACCAAGATTCTCTTTTAGCCATGGAGCTGCACTTCCCCAGGATATATAGCACAAGGAGAAAGGGGTGGGGAATGCCACCTATTCATGTGCAAAAGTAGCACATGTAACCTAAATCTGCTCTTGCTTATTTACTTATGGCTCTTTTATCTTACATTTCACCACAGGAGACTCAAGGTTAATTCAAATCACATTTAATTAATTAATTATCATATGGCATTTTGTGTGGAATAACCAGGATATCCTGGAAGGGATTGTTTGGCTGCCGAAGCTGTAGCTCTTTTTGCCACTAGTAGGTGATGAGCTATGCTAATTTTTAGGCTGAGAGTGCTGTGACTTGCCTAAGGTCACCCAGCTAGCTTCAACTGGGGAAGTGGGGAATCAAACCCGGTTCTCCAGATAAGAGTCCGCCGCTCTCAACCACTATACAAAATTGGCTCTCACAAATCACAGTGAAACAGCATAAAACCACATAGCAATAGCCTGTGTCCTGCCTCTCAATTCAATAATATTTTAAAGTCTTCCTCTAGCCTAGGAGCCTTCCTTTCCAGAGGAAGAGCCACTTAAGCTGGAGGAAGGCTCCTCAGGCCAGCAGAAAGCTGAGAGTGGTAGGATATGGGTTGCCATCACTTCTAAAAAAGAACATGAAACACATACCCCTCCTTCAAAAGGATGTGACCCAGGCACAATAGTCAAGCATTCATGCTCAGCAGTCACCCAGCTGCCCAGCTGCAATGCTGAATACTGTCACTGTACAGATATATTTTACAAACAAATCCTTGAGGCAGTCAAGGCACAAAATTGACTCAGCAAAAAACAACCCCCCCAGACATTTTAAACAGTGTAAATTCAACTATCAACTGCAATTTTTTCAAATTTTTACGCATCCTGGATTATCATTTGCTTTTTGCCTTGCTCCATTTCCTCCATTTTTCATTTCCCCCCCTATTTTCTGTTTTTGTTAACAGACCCCAAGTGCTTAGAGATGACCCAAATCCCCTGAGTGAGCGTTCTTACCACATGATAGCTTACTCATTTGCTTAGTCAGGGCCACCATCTGGGATAGGTGCCATTTGATAGCTGCCAGGACTCTAGTACCCTAGAAAAACCCTAGAATACCCTAGAATGACTCACGACCAGGGCAGCAGAGAGGGCAGGATTGGTTCTCCTACCTCAGTTCCTTCTTTTCCTTCAAACCAAACACTACAAAATACTACAGTAGCATTACTACATTGCAATAGATGGATTTTTTTTGTTTCTCATTTTGCTGTTCAGACAGCCAATGTTGCATCAGCATGTAAAAGGATTTGTGGTCAGGTCCTTGCTCACCCTTGAAACTGAGTGGCTGACCACTTAGTCCCACCTACCTCACAGGGTTATTATACAGATGATATCCATATGTACTATTTTGGGTTCCTTAAAGGGTAAAATATACATGTGGTACATAATAATAAAAAGGATTAACTTACCTGCTAAAATATGTGAGGACGGTATCGTAAGATGGAATTATCTGAATTTTGGGGTTTTGCTGTAGAAAGACCCAGCAGAGTGTAATTCTCAAAAGATGGAATTCGCTGAAAGTAAATAACCTGCCAAGAAAAGGAATCTTTATACACTGTAAGAATGTACAAAGTTTGTATGAAGACAAACTTTTATAAATAAAAGTGTATATGGAGGTTACACTGTTGTGCTTTTCTAATTGCTTAATGAATATTCTTTTTTTTTTTTTTAATTTCTCAATTGCAAATTGCTTTAATTCACTTTAAAACATTGATTAAACCTTACAGGAATATTCTGTTTTTAATTCCATATAGAACTCTTAACAGATATAGCCCAAAATAGAAAATTCCCTGGCACACCAAATGCCATTTTGTTTAAAACTTAAGCATGACATTTGTAACCCCCCCAAAAAAACTGGAGTTCACATACTTAAAATTAACATATGTGCCGCTTCAGACTTCAAAAGGTCTAATGAAACTTTGGCTACATTATATTGTAAAAAAAAAAAGTTTTTAAACACCTCATAGCAGCTACAGGGGTACTAATAACAGACATACAGGTTTTTTAAAGTTAAATATTTGTTTCTTTGATTTGCATATGAAATACAAAACTTCATTTAACTTTAAAGAAAATAATTACTCAGTGCAGAAAATCAGAGGTGTTCAGATAACTATAGGATCTTAGTAATAATCTTAATCATAACACATGTTCTAAAACAAAGCCAAGAATTCCCCCTTTCAGTGATGTTATCCATGTAGAGATACTGTTTTTCCACAGGCTTTTTAGACCCCCTTCTACTTCTCTCAGTTCCTTTCTCTCCCATGCACACTCCCAGCTAAGGTAAATCAGCTCTGTTAGCACTTCCTGTGTTCCTGTAGTTCATGTTTCCTATACTTTCCCACTATTGGAGTGTCCCAGTACATTACAATATGGCTCATATGAACATGCAGGATCAAACCTGCTCCAGCATCTTGCTCCTCATAGGGACCAGTTAGATTACCCGCAATACTATCCTATACAAAGTTACTTCAGTCTGTTGACTGAAATGAATTTAGACTAGAGTAGGTTTGCATAGGGTTGCACTGCCAGAAAGGTCACAATCAAGGATGGATAGATTTTAATGGGGATACATTTTTTTATTTACAATTTTTATTGAAATAAATGGTGAACAAGCAATAATAACAGATGCAAAATCAATATAACAACATGAAATGGGAGAAAGATTGTTTCCCCCCCCCCGCCGCCAAATACATAAATACATAATATTTAAACAATATACATGGGTTTGATATCACATAATGTACTAAACTTTGCAAGCTTTGTAGAATTAGAAGTGAGTGTAATGCCCACAAATATAATCCATTGACTACCTGTTCTCTCCTAAGAGAGGTTATTTAAAATTGCAACTTTAAGTTTATAAATGTGGTGAAGGCTAAATGCTGTACCTAATTTATACAAAACACGAGGAAAAGGTGATTGGTATGTTATTTATATTAATGACTTAGGTGCAACAGTACTATATGAGTAGTCTATCTTTTGTTGATTAAATCCATTTGATGTAATTTTTCCATTGGGGATACATTTTTAACTGTTTTATATTTTAAAGATTACTATTGTATCTTTGAATTGTTTTTATTAGTGTTTTTTAAATGCTGTTAGTTGCTCCAAGTCCCATTCGGGGGAGAGGGAGTGGGATATAAATTTGATAAATAAATAAAAATAAGTAAATCAGAGGCACAGAGTCAAAACCTCCCCTTGTGGCTTTCTCTCAGCAACCAGTATTCAGAGGTTTGCTGTCCCTGAACCTGGAGGTTCCATTTAGTCTTCTAGGCCACTGATGGACCTGTCCTTTTAAAGCTAGGCTGTCATACTTTGGTCACATTATGAGAAGACAAGAATCACTGGAAAAAACAACTATGCTAGGAAAAGTTGAAGGCAGCAGGAAAGAAGGAAAACTCAATTTAAGTTGGATTGACTCTATAAAGGAAGCCACAGCCCTCAAGACCTGAGCAAGGCCGTTAATTAGTCAATTAGCCTTCGACAGCATATTAAGGCCGTTAATGATAGGACATTTTGGAAGATGTTAATTCATAGGGTCGCGATAAGTCGGAAGTGACTTGATGGCACTTAACACACACACACACACACAAACTTGTGGACATCACAAAATCCTGTAACAATGAATTTCACAAATTAATTATCCATTGTGTGAAGAAGTACTTCCTTTTGTCTGCCCGTAATCTGCTTCTCATCAGCTTCATTGGGTTTGCCCAAGATGTTTGGGAGACGGACTTTCCCTGCACCATGAATAATTTAGTACATCTTTGTTGTATTCTCCATATGCTCCTTTTTCTAGTACCAGCTCCCTGTCTTTTGCTGCAATATACTACAATTTGGACTTCTGGCTTGGCTGCTAATTTTTTACTGATCTGATCTGGTGAAGATTTGCTTTCTGGCTCACATCTATATACTCTTAGCCACATGTGGTCTGCATTTGTGGATATCTAAATCTGTGGATCAGGGTCATACAGAGGCTAAAGAGGTTTTCCAGCAAACTTGGGGGACTCACCAAGTTTGCAGGAAAATCTTTAAAATAAAATAGATAGGGGGATATGACGAATTACACAGAAAAGCAGGCTTTTTAAAATACTGCTTGTGTCAAAGAGTCAGGGAGTTCAAGAGTTAATCTTCCCTGGAGATAAGAGCTTATCTAATTGGCTGCTCTACTTACTCACTGATTGGCCAGCATCAGCTGAGAGAGGAAATAAAACAGCTGATCTGGAGGGGAAAGTTTCATTTGAGACACTTTTGGTCTTGGTCTGAAATCTAACATCTGGATCAATAGCCAGAGGGTTTGGCTTCTGAGGGAAGATACTTTGGGAGTCAGTGATTTCTGTCAGGGAATTGTCAGAAAAGTACTTCTGTAGAGAGAAGAATAAGGACCCCATTGTCTTAAATATATTAGAACTACTCTAAGGGAGAATTTGGATTCTCAATCAAGAAAGCTACAGAACAGCCTTATGCAGACAACGGATACTGGAGAAGGATTTGGCAGAAGGTTGGGTAGTTAGAGAGAACTCCCATACAAGCCAAATAGTAAAAAGAGTTATTGCTCCTTAGGGACAAGGAGAATAACTTCCTGCCAGTGAAAGGGGTTGGGAAGAGAACCTTGGCCTGTAATAAAGGGGAGAACCTCAGGAGTTAGTGAAAAGCTGTAATATCTAAAGGGAAAACCTAGATCTCTGAACGGAGAAACCTAGAAATACTAGAAATCCTCTAAGAAACTATATTCAAGATACTGTGTAAGAGCTGGAAATATATAATAAGCAAAAACCTCTCACTGAAAAGAACTTGAAACTCAGAAATTAAGCTTCAACAACACTCTGTTGTATGTTCAAAAGCTTCAGTTCTGTATATATTAGAAAGTTTCATCTCAGCAACCTCTATACCTTGAATCCTCATATTTATATATTCGCTGCCTGTTTAATAAAATCTTTATTCTCTTTTGGAAAGTTAATCTCCCTCAAGTGCCATTTCACAAGGGTTTATAAAACAGGAAAGCTCCTGTATTTCCCTCAAGTTCTTGTACTGGGTCTAAAGCCTAAACAAATATCTGTGACACGGTGGGACAATTTAAGCTTATCCAACAAAGAAGAAATACACACTACTGGAGGGCGACTCAATTACTGAGGGGAACTAAAATATTTTTGGTGGGAAAATTCTGCCTGGTTGTTGGGACAGAGGGGGTTTAAATCTCTCAAAAATAGAATTGTGTCATCTGCTGCGGTGGAGGAGGACTCCAGGCACTGCTCTGGGCCCAGCAGTGGTGGACACCGGCAGCCGCTGTGGGCCTGATGGCAGAGGATGCTGGCAGCCACTGCCGATCCAGCCACAGCAGAGGATGCTGGCAGCCATTGCAAGCCCAGGCGTTGCCAGGGCAGACACCAGCAGGTGCTGTGGGTTCAGCAATGAGATATAAGGGTGCCAGCAGCCACTCTAGGCCTGAGTGTGGCAGTGGTGGCTACCAGCCACTGCTTTTAATACAAGCACTGCGGCAGCAGACACCACCAGCCGCTGCTGGCCCAGGGGCAGCAGTGGTGGATGTTGATTGCTGGGCATTGGCTGCCGAGCTCATTGCTGGGTGTTGGGACCTGGAGCCTTGCTAGTTCAGCAATTGGGGGGGTATGGGATTTCCCCCTGTGAGTCTCATGACCCCGCCCCCCCAATTGTCTTACCTATAAAGTCATTTTTAGAGACAGGGTGAGATGTTCAGCCCAATCTCGCCTAACAGAACAGACAGAGACTTTTGTAAAGGTCACATGGTGGCAAGGAAACTTTAAAAGGACAGCTCTTAAAACATGATGGGAAGAAGCTAATTGCATTCTGAGAAGGGCAGAACTTCTCAATGAACACAAGAGTCTATTTAGGAATTAAAAGCATGGAAAAATGTGCGTAGCTTTTAGTGACATTTGGAAGAAAAAGCAATGGGTATTTAACTCATCAGAAGAGGGATTTTCCCCTCCAAAAAGCAGACATTCTGTTCAGACAAGTTTAAGCAGATCTTCTGAACAAGGAGCCTAGATGTATAGCTGTTACATATGGGTTAGAGTGAAAAAGAAATCTATAACTGATGATGGTGGAATGACAACCTCTCTCGTACCCTCCCTTTCTGTATTAATCCTTTCTGTAGAGTGAGGCCCAGATGCCTGGATTTAACTGCCTTTTTAAAAAAAAATCCTCTTCTTCCCCAGAAGGCCTTGAATGATTCCATGGTTTCGCAAGAAGGTTCGGAAATATTTTAATTGTGGTATTTATATATTCCGTTGCTTTATTCATGAAATGCCTACCATATGATTGTAATAATTTTGAAATAGCTTTTTCCAGTTGCTGCTCACCAATGTCTGCTGCTCACATTCACTCCTGACTCTTTAACTTGCAAGCCTGATAAATGTGGCGATATTTTCATAGTTCCTTGTTCTAGATACCCTAAGCTCCTTAAAGGGAGGGTGGGATGCAAATGTAATGGGTAAATTAATCTGCAACCTAAGCTCTGGCGAGGAAGGAATCTTGCGATACTCTGCCCAGAATTCATCAGACAGAGCAGCAATCAGTGTTTGTTTTCTTAATGGACAAGACCTACCTGTTACACTGGAGCTGTACAAACCAGCCCATTTTAAAGTTGGCAACCCCTTGAACATACATACTGTCCATGTAAAGTGAACCTACTTGGAGGGAGGAGGGAATCACCGGGACAGAGCCCATCCCAAACCATATGGATTCCCTCCACAGATCTTGACTGACTGGGTTCTCATAGGCCTGTTCATATGATCAAGAACCCCACTGTTTGAATGGTTCCTAACCGAGTGTGCAAAGTATCCACATGTGCTGTGTGCAGATCGTGCTCAGACAGTAGAATGAACACATGAAGTATGGGAAATGGTGCCTATTACTACTACCGATGATGATGATGCTACAGTCCTGTTTCCCCCCCCCCTTCCATCTCCCTCCTCCTATAGTCTCCCCAGAGTGGACATTTGTAAAGGACTTGTGTTATACTGGGTAATTGACTAACACATTTACAAAGGAGGTAAAATTATTTAATCCACGGGAGCTGGGAGTGGAATTGTGGAAAGAGAGCTGCTGAACTGTTCAATGTGCTCCAAAAAAACATTGGAGCCAAAAATCCTAAATATAAATACACGTTGATGGGGTCTGAACTGGCAGAGACTGATCAAGAGAGAGATCTTGGAGTTGTAGTAGATAACTCACTGAAAATGTCGAGACAGTGTGTGACTGCAATAAAGAAGGCCAATGCTATGCTGGGGATTATTAGGAAGGGTATTGTAAACAGATCAGCCAATATCATAATGCCCCTATATAAATCAATGGTGCGACCTCATCTGGAATACTGTGTGCAGTTCTGGTCACCACACCTTAAAAAGGATATTATAGCTTTGGAAAAAAGTGCAGAAAAGGGCAACTCGAATGATAAAAGGGTTGGAACACTTTCCCTATGAGAAAAGGTTAAAGCGCTTAGGACTCTTTAGCTTGGAGAAACGACGACTGAGGGGTGACATGATCGAGGTTTATAAGATTATGCATGGGAAAGAGCAGGTAGAGAAAGAGATACTTTTCTCCCTTTCTCACAATACAAGAACTCGTGGGCACTCCATGAAATTGCTGAGTGGTCGGGTTAGAACGGATAAAAGGAAGTACTTCTTCACCCAAAGAGTGATTAACACTTGGAATTCACTGCCACAGGAAGTGGTGGCGGCTACAAGCATGGACGGCTTCAAAAGGGAATTAGATAAGCATATGGAGCAGAGGTCCATCAGTGGCTATTAGCCACAAGCTATAGATAGGGACTCTGGGGCAAGTGATGCTCTGTCATCTTGGTGCTTGGGGGGGGTCAACAGTGGGATGGCTTCTAATGTCCTGGCCCCACTGGTGGACCTTCTGATGGCACTGGTATGTCTGGCCACTGTGTGATACAAAGTGTTGGACTGGATGGGCCTTTGGCCTGATCCAACATTGGCATCTCTTATGTTCTTATGTTAACTGTTAAATCAATGGTACGAGGGCTTGATACTCACACTAAAACAACAGGGGCAGTTTAAGTGATCTGCTGTCCCCAACAGTGTAATCCTAAACAGAATTATACCCTCTAAAGTCAGTGGGTTTACAAGGGTATGAGTGTTTAGGATTGCACTGTAAAAAGAAGGAAGAAATATAGGTTTTTATACCCTGCTCTTCAATATCCGAGGGAGTCTCAGAGTGGCTTACAATCACCTTTCCCTTCCTCTCCCCACAACAGTCACGTTGTGAGGTAGGTGGGGCTGAGAGAGTTCTGAGAGAACTGACTGATCCAAGGTCACCCAGCAGGCTTCATGTGGAGGAGCGGGGAATCCAACACAGCTCTCCATATTGAAGTCTGCTGCCTTTAATCACTACACCACACTGGCTAAGTTTTCATGCTGTCATCTATATTATGGAAATACATACATTATGTGGAGTCTGCTTTAGATAAAGAATGTGAGAGGCTCTGAGACATTAGGAACAGCAGTAAGCTCTAAGCTTGGGCTGCCATTATCCACCCATTTCATATGGACCTATAAACAGCCATTAGATACCCTACAGCTCAGAAAGTTCCAGATGCAAAGCTCATTATAAACTATTTCCTGTGGACAGCTGCTCATTTTTAGTTGTAGGTTCAATATATGATATTCTTCATTCTTCAAAATAGGCATGAGGTGCCAGATGGGAGCTGGGTCCAGAGAAGACAGTTTTTAGCAAGGGAACACACCCATTCGTGCCGGGTTGAGAGGCTCATGTGAACAGAGAATTTAGCAGGAAAGGGTGATGCTTTTCTTTGAATTTTTCCAATCACAAATTGTTTTTAAAATGAAATAATACTGACCTGACCACAAGCATGCTCATTTATGACTCTCTAAGTACTCCTGGATGAAAATTCCTATACTAGCAGACATGCTGTGAGAGTCCATGCAAATCAATTCCAGAGAAAATCTTACTTAATTTTAGCAAAACAGGTGGTTTTATGTGGATGTCACTGGGAGTAAAAGAAGCTGGCCTGTGAATCAAATTTCTACCAGCAGCTTGCTATGTATAACATTAGGCCCATTAGTGCAGTTTCTCAGGGCTGTTTCTCACATGAAGGGAACTAATAAATTCCTTGTAACTTGTAGAATGATTTCAGGAATCACATGAATACATAAAACAGCCTTATACAGAATTACACTATTGGCTATTTTACTCTATCTCACTAGGGTTGCCAGGTCTGGGTTGGAAAATACCTGGAGACTTTGGGGGTGGATCCGGGAGAGGGTGGGATTTGGGGAGGGGAGGGGCCTCAGCATGGTAAAATGCCAGAGAGTTTGCCCTTCAAAGTAGCTATTTTCTCCAGGGGAGCTAATCTCTGTCAGCTGGGGGTCAGTTGTAAAAGCGGGGGATCCCCAGGCCCCACCTGGAGGCTGACAACCCTATATCTCACTTAGGACCTTTCCTCAAATCAGGGATTTGCATTTGCCAGGAAAAATAAATGCATGGTGGTTACTTATAAGTTTTGAAAGCAGTATCATAGTCTTCAAAATGTGACAGATTTTTGTAGATTTCCATGATAAGAGGTCTAATGTGAACACTGAGTGTTTATTCTATTGAGTGAGGTAAAGGTAAAGGTTCCCTTGCTCGAAAGCCAGTCGAATCCGACTCTAGGGTTGCGGTGCTCATCTTCGTTTCAAAGCCGAAGAGCCAGCGCTGTCCGAAGACGTTTCCGTGGTCATGTGGCCATGACTAAACACCAAGGTGCACGGAACGCTGTTACCTTCCCACCGAAGTGGTACCTATTTATCTACTTGCAATTTCTTGCTTTCGAACTGCTAGGTTGGCAGGAGCTGGAACTAGAGACGGGAGCACACCCCGTCTTGCGGCACCCGGGTCTTGAACTGCTGAACTACTGACCTTCCACAGCCTGCAGTTCAGCGTCTTAACCACTTGAGCCACCGCAGCTCCATTGAGTGAGGTATAGATGTTATAAAAGTGAGACAACTAAGTTGAATATTTATTTGAATAAAGGTTAGATTCAAAGGCTGTTTAGAAAATACGTAAAAAATCAAGATGGAGGCTGGGTATTTAAGAAACTGAAGCTTGGAATTCCAGTTGTGGAGAGAATCGATGAAGGCTAATGCTGTGTACTAGTGTATATAGTGAGCTGTGCAAACCTTCGGCATACTTACTATCAAACTTACTTCCCAGTCCACCAATCAAACTGACCTTGAAGATTTGAGCACCTTCTGTAGTAGTTCCAGTGGCAGCTTCCGCAGGTGAATCTGAGAGCCCAGCTGTGGGACAAGGTTCACCTCTATCCACCTTTCACAGTCAGAGATCAAGGAGGGTTGCTTGTACTGATGTCAAAGGGAAGAAAAGGGTATGAAAGAAATTCTGAACTCTGAGACCATCTTGTGGCGGAAAGTGGGACTTAAAACATTCTATGCACATTCAGAATAAAATGGTGGTGGGAAGTGTTGTTGTCAGAGCTGACTCATGACGACCCCCAAAGGGTTTTCAAGGCAAGAGGCGTTCAGAGGTGATTTGCCATTGCCTGCCTCCACATCATGGCCCTGGTATTCCTTGGTGGTCTCACACCCAAGTACTAACCAAGGCTGACCCTGCTTAGTATCTGAGATCTGATGAGATTGGGCGACCCTGAGCTATCCAGGTTAGGACTCAGAGTAAAATAACACACACTTTTCTTTGACTAAGTCTACACTTTAAAATAGTAAACTGGGAATGCAACAAATACTTGCCAAGGAACTATGGTTTGCCGTTGTCTTTTGAAGGTACATTTGGCAAACCAAGTCTTCCCTCTGTGCAATCTATGAAATGAAGTCTGTTCTATGTATTCTGTTGGCACATCTCAAAGAAGTTCATTACTAAGGGCAAGTCTGCTGTCGCCATTTTGCTGAAGATGGCTTCCTTCTCATCCAGAAACAGGCTCACTACTCTATGGTCTTGGTGTGGCAACACTCAGGAAAGAAATGCGGGGGGGGGGGGAAGCCAGTAACTAGCCCTTAAAGAAGCAGAGCAGGACTGACACCTCTGGCTTGGGAAATTCCTCGAGATCTGGGGGTGGCTTCTGGGGAGGGGATGCCTTAGTTCACCCTTCACAGCTGCCATTTCGTCCAGGAGGACTGATCTCTGTTAACTAGAGATCAGTTGTAATTCTGAGAGAACGCCAAGCCCCACCCTGAGGATGGCAACCCTCCCTGAGAGAAAGCGGTTTGCCCAGCGTTATGTCCACACATTGCAAAGTCCTCATGTCAACTGGGGGGAGCCGTGAGGCCTTTGCATGAGATGTGCAGCTGGAGCTCTCTGGCTCCCCCCCCTCCAAACACCAGATCCTTTTCTGTTTGTGACCAAAGCAAGCAGGGAGAAGGAGCATAAGCTGCTGCCGGCTCCCATTGCAAAACTGTCTTGTCGCCATGTAAATAACATAATTTAAACAATGTAGCTGCCAGCTCTGGGCTGGAAAATAGCTGGAGATTTTGGGGGTGAAACGTGGGGAAGGCAGGGTTTGGGGAGGGGAGGGGCCTCAATGGGCTATAAGGCCAAAGAGCCCACCTTCCAAAGTGGCCATTTTCTCCAGGTGAACGGATCTCTGTCACCTGGAGATCAGTTGTGATCAATGTTCCCTCTAAGCTGTAGAGTCTTGTGAGCAAAAATTCTACTTTGTGAGCTAATGGCATTAAAGTTGTGAGCGAGCGATTGGGCTGCTGCATAAATTAGTTTGCTCCAGAGCCCTCCTTCCTGAACTAAGACAAAAATGTGTGAGCCGGAGGCTAAAACAACTGTGAGCTGGAGCTGGTGCACTCGGCTTAGCGGGAACACTGGTTGTGATCCCAGGTCTCCAGCCACCACCTGAAGGCTGGGAAACCTAAGCTAGCAGCATCTCCACAGGATGGTTTGCAAATGGAGAAACAGCAGGTTAAAGCTCCTCCCTGCCTGCTTTGGTCACAAACTGTTGTGTACCCAGGGAAGTCCGCGCATGTGGTTGGGTCAACATGTGGTCAGACGAAGGGCCCAAGCTTCATCTCCAAAGACAATAGCCAGAACGGATCGGGAGGCTAGGATCCTAGAAGGGACTTATGGGTCTAGTGGTGCACTGTAAATACCCTATCACGGTGTGGTGTGATTTGGGAGTATAAGCCGGCCGGCAAGCCGGCTAAAACATCTCAAGATCTGCCTGTTCTTAAATAAAGTATGAGCTGTAATCACTCTGCAATGCATCAGCCTCAGTACTTTATACAAACAGAAAAGAGAAGCGCTGTGACTATACCAAGGCCTCTAGTGACTTGCAGAGGCAGAAATTTCAACAATGAGCATTGTGTGCCTGCTGGCTAATCAGGCCCAACCGGTTAGCATTAAACAAGGTTGTTACTCAAAACACGTTTCATTCTTTAAATATCTATCAAGAACTCACCTTGCAGCCAGCAGAATAATAGCTGCAGACATTTGCTGGGGAAATGCTACTTCTCATGACCTGCACACACCTACAAAAAAAGGAACTTATAAATTGTGGTTTAGATAAGAGGAGCAGGTCATGTTGAACGGCTGATGTGGCATCACTTAGAGTGAGTGTACCCAGGTTACTCATCTGCACTTCAGGTATGAAGTTGGAAGTAGTGCTGGCTAAGTTCAGACCAAGGGTGGATCCTCCCCATGTTTTGGGAGACTGACTGGCTGCCACTCACATCAGAGTTACAGCTGAAAAAAAATGAATAAATAAGAGCTTGGGTCTTTGATTGCTTTTTAGTGTCTTAAATAAATGGATTTTAAAAAAAATGAGATGGGCATGAAAACTTGGTGAGCACCTTGAGGCACATATTGATGAAAGGCATTCGAGTAAGTCATCTGTTTATTGGCTACGTAGCCAAGGGGGCATAAGGAGGGCATTCCCTTGCTGCCGGCAGCATTCATCTGGGCTGTATCCTGGCTGCTGCACAGCCCAGATGAATGCTGCTAGCACCCTTCTTACACCTCTTTGGCCATGTAGTTGATAAACAGGTGACTTACTTGAACTCCATTAATCAATAAGTGCCCCAGGTTTTCATGCCCATCTCATTTTTCATGCTTTCATGCTCAGCTCAAGCCCATCTCATTTTAAAAAGAACAGGGGGATGTTCATGGGGCTCAGCACAATTCTATGCAGGATTTTCTTTGTAAAGCCTTAAATGTCTATGACTAATCTGCTTTAAGGGTGCTCCTTGATGAACCTGCCCATCAACTAGAAATTGACATTAAAAAAAAAATCTTAACCTTAATCCCCTATACTAGCTTGTCATAATTCCTAGGATAACATACCTCCCTGTAGTCTCATTGATTTACCGAAGTAAAAAGAGAGAAACTAAAAAAGGAGGTCCGGAGAACATGTCCAAAATCCAACAATAAAATTTTTGGAAGGAAAAAGAGTTCCAAGCACAAGCAGGTTACAGACTATCAACTCAGTCATTTGTTCTATAGACGGCTGATTAGTCTTCTATGGTCTATTTTTTATTAGCATCCCTGTTACCCATCAGTATGTTTCAAGTCCACAAAATAAGAGTACATTCTGAGGAGCTCTTCATAGTTCATGTATATAATCTGTGTTAAGTGGTCCTGAATATATAACTCAGGGCTAAGAAAATTAAGAAGTGCTTATCTAACTCAGCATTCTTTACAAGATTCTCAACCATCACAAGGCATTAGGTGGTCCATTAGAAATTGGCCAGTGGTCCATGAGTGGACACCTTTTACCCATACTTCTGTCACAGTGGACCATGGTCTACCTTTTACCCATACTTCTGTTACAGTGGACCATGGTCTACCTTTTACCCATATTTCTGCTCTGGCACAAGCAAGAACATGTAGAGAAAAACTACAGAGGCATACCCTGTTCCAGACAAATGAGACAGAGCTGTCCATCCTTTTCATACTTTCCCCTAAATATCCTCCAGATTCCCCTTGCTACAGTTATTTGCTGGCCCTTGGATTACAGGGAGGCTGTCATGACCTTCAGGATATTGTACTAGAGTATAGCACTGCCGTTCCAAGAGCAATCCATGACAAATATATGACATTTCACATTTTTCAAACATCTTCCTCATAGAGGATAACCTTGACAAATGCATAAATATAATTAACATCAATAACTATTTTTATAGTTGGAACATTTTTCTTATAGATGTAGAAGCTGTACATTCCATAATAACGTATATTCTACTATATGCCCAAATTATTTTGAAGCTTTTATAAGGAATATGGAAGAAAAGTGTGTCTGTGCCTTTAAAATGTGTTTACTACATCAGCTACTGAGAGAAAATTGATTTTGCCAAGCCTAGCATGTCACCTACCGTCAGATCTATTTTTTAAAAAACAGCCAGCTTAAAAATATAAGGGGCCTATTTCCAGTAAAATAGCAACATGGATGATTCATTCCACATCTTTTGGCAGTCTACAGGTGTCACTTTTGCCGATTGCTTCTGCTAATAGGAGAAAAACATATTTCTCTCATTCTTTCATTCTAAGAATACCTAATTCAAGACAGTTGTGCCAAAAGACACTGTGCATTCTGCTAATTGGGGGGGGGGGGTTACAGAAAGGAACAAAAATTAATTACCTCATCAGGGTTCCTATTGATGGTAACCAACAATATTGCTGCACTTACAGTATCAACCATATTTTGCTTTAATGTTCAACGTGAAAGGGCAGCTATCGTCTAGATGACTGAAATCAATATATAGGTTATGGTTGATACCATTGTTCAAACAGTTTTTCCACACAAATGAGTCGGCCTACAGAAGCTGACATTTCACAGAACTAAATCACAGTAAGGCTGCACTGCCACACTGTCCAGTCCGCACATCTCAGTCCAATGTTGTTCCGGAACACCAATGTTTACTTACTTTTGGAAGAGGCTAGGGAATTCTAGTAGTGCTGCAGTAGCCAGGATTCCCAGGACGTCTTCTTCATTCACTTCCATTTCTGAGTTATATAAATTCTTGAGTGCAACAGCAAAGGCTTCACATCAAATCAAAAGGTAACATAAATAGACAAGCTTTGTGAATGATTTCCCCTCTTGTCCTTGAATCTTAATACTGAATCATTCTGAATCAAGTGGTCCCCTTTCTCTCCTGATCAGAATTTGCCCACACTAAAATGCTGTGTTGTGCAACCCTTCCCTGGCTACCATAAATCTCTGAGGGCTTGGGAGCATACATGCGACATTCTTTTGGAAGGCACAAAAGACCAATAACAGGTTGAAAGTCAAGCATACCGCTTTCTACTCAGGAAAGGTGGAGGAGTGGGCAAATGAGACTGGTCTACGTAACTTTCCTTCCTCATGTCTTCTGTCTTTAGGTTCCATAGAAAAAGACCACCCAGCTACGTTAGAGGGCAGGAGTTACCTGTGACCTGTTCTTTTCACACAAAACAGAGATAGGCCATAACTTCTATAGAAAGTTGTCAGCCTACAGAATCATCCTGTTTGTATTTGTGGTTAGTTGTCAGTATAGGTGTTATACATTCTTTTGGAAGGCACAAAAGGTCAATAACAGGTTGGAAGTCAAGCATACCGCTTTCTATTCAGGAAAGGGGGAGGAGTGGGCAAATGAGACTGGTCTACATAACTTTCCTTCCTCATGTCTTCTGTCTTTAGGTTCCATAGGAAAAGACCACCCAACTACATTAGAGGGCAGGAGTTACCTGTGGCCTGTTCTTTTCACACAAAACAGAGATAAGCCATAACTTCTATAGAAAGTTGTCAGCCTACAGAATCATCCTGTTTGTATTTGTGGTTAGTTGTCAGTATAGGTGTTAAAGTCATTACCATATCGAGTGACATCTGGATTGTTAATATTCAAGACAAGGGTAATTTTGGGCATTTTTTGCTTCTTTTCACAGAGTTCTTTATCTTTCCGTCCACCTAGTAGACACTGTTTGTAACGTCTGGTTTCTGTCAAAAACATTGGAGACATGAGAGAATTTGTATGGCACTTAGAGTATTAAAGACATACAGGGGAAAAAAAAGGTAGAATACAGATATGAGTGACTTCAATCACCACTGGACTTTTAAAAATAGATGAGATCATTTTTATAAAAACTATTTTTCCTACTTGTAAATTTTAACAGTGCATGGTCATTAGGTCATAAGAATGTAATTGTCCTTGAATCTTAATACTGAATCATTCCTAACTGGACCTTATAAATACCTGGGAGAGAATTAACTGCTTGTGGATATGGGAAAGAGAGAAAATGAAAAAGAGAGAAATGAGATACGTTTATATGTCCTACAGTGCAATTCTAAGCAAAATTACACCCTTCTAAGTGCATTAAAGTGAATGGGCTTAAGGGGTCAAACTCTGCTTCATATGGTAGTTAGTTTCTTTCCCTCTCTATATTACTGAATTTTTGTGGAGGGTTGCTGTTGCATTTGTGTTCTGTGTGTATTTTAGAATTGTATGTTGATGTTTTAACCTTTGTAGACTACAAGAGCTACCTTTGTAGAAGGGCAGAGCATGATAGTAATCAATAGTTATTTTATCCTTCTCAAAATAACAAGAGAGACTTCAGAGTCCTTTCAGTACCTTTTCTGGTTTTGTTGTCCATACAATACATGGCATGCTCTGACACAGCTGAAGTAAGAAGGTCTGCAAGGACCTGGGATTTAAATAAGTACATGCGATGAAGGTCCCACTGGAAGCCCAGACACTCCAGTGTTACATCTGAGGAAACAGAGAGTGCTGTTAGGAAAGTGAGCTGCATCTCTAAAAATTACAGGCCGCTCACAGCCATGAGAAAGTACATCGAAGGCTGATATGTCACAGAAAGTAGTTTTCTCATTTGTGACTACCCACCTGGCTCTAAGCCTTCTGTGACCTTCTGCGTGTAAGAAAAAAGCATCTCATGTGGAGCTCCTTGGTCAGAGAAAAGCCTCAGTGAAGAGAAGGGGGGGGGAGAAGAAACCAAGGGTTAAAATATATTTAGAATTGTTTTGTTTAAATGCACATGAAATAGTGAGAGCTGTGATCACCAGGAAATTATCAGTCAGATATATCATTCAGTGGAGTCGAGCAACACCAGTTATAATAAAGGTAAAGGTAAAGGTTCCCTTGCTCGAAAGCCAGTCGAATCCGACTCTAGGGTTGCGGTGCTCATCTTCGTTTCAAAGCCGAAGAGCCAGCGCTGTCCGAAGACGTTTCCGTGGTCATGTGGCCAGCATGACTAAACACCAAGGCGCACGGAACGCTGTTACCTTCCCACCGAAGTGGTACCTATTTATCTACTTGCAATTTCTTGCTTTCGAACTGCTAGGTTGGCAGGAGCTGGAACTAGAGACAGGAGCTCACCCTGTCTTGCGGCACCCGGGTCTTGAACTGCTGAACTACTGACCTTCCACAGCCTGCAGTTCAGCGTCTTAACCACTTGAGCCACCGCAGCTCCATCCATTTACTTACTTACTTACATAATTTATACCCCACTTTTCTCCCCATAATTTATACCCCACTTTTTACAACATTCTCCTGTTCTCCCTTTTATCCTCACAACTATCCTATTAGATAGGTTAGGCTGAGAGTATCGGCACTTTCACACACTAAAATGCACTTTCAATCCACTTTCAAGTAGTTGCTAAAGTGGATTGCTGTAAAAGCAGGAGATCTCCAGCCACCCCCTGGAGGTTGGCAACCCTAAACCAATCAGTAAAATAAGGGTTTTATCGTGTACATTTTTGCTGGGTGCTAGAACAGACTTAGAGAAGTGGATCCCTACTGAGGAGGCCTGGCTCCTGTGTTTTGATCTGTAGTGCACTAGCACTTCATTTTTGTTCTGCTACCTCCCCCCCCCCTTACTTTTGAGGCAAGTTCCCTCATGCAAACAGTGTGGGGCAGACCTAATAATGGTATCAGTCTTGTTCACATTTTCTGCCTAGGGCGCTCATCCTTCTTTGTTGCTGCTGACATAAAGGAGGGAAAGCTGAGACACAGATTTTCCTAAATGAAAAAAGGAGAGGAGGCAAATGCAAAGTAGCAAAAAGGCAAGGGAGAGGTTGTTGAACAGGGGATATCAGAATAAACAGTTCAATAGTGGGTTAACCACTTCAGGACAGGAGCCCTCTTGCAGCTTCCCCTTCCTAACACCTAGTGAGAGGCAATACTGTGGACAACTGCATTCATGTTTCCCCTTATACTTCCATAAGGAAAAGAGATTAAGATGTATTTTTTGCACAAATTTGGAAAGTGTCTGTATCTCCTAGGGAGGTAGCTATGGGCCTGCATGGGGGAAAGGATCCAGCCCGTGGACCTCCACGCCTGGTCTGATGCAGATGTTGCTCTGTCCCCATCTGCTTTGGTCTTTAAAAAGAACTGCACAAGTTTTGTTCCGACTGGAAATATTAATATCTTGTGAAGCAACAAAACTAAACACAGCGCCCCTTTTGACGTCTGCACAAATGCTCTGGAAAAGAAACAGCTGCTGTTATATACGTAATAAAGAATTCCATAGAAAACGGGGAGAAAATCAGAAGCAGTTGTGGAGTTTTAAAAATGTATAAAAGGGTGTTCACATACCTCCCTAGCCAAAAAGGTGGAAGCATAGAGGAAAGACATCAACAAAGGAAATAACGGAGTTCAGTTCAAGTTAGGTCACTGACTGTTAATAACAGTTTGGAGCAGAGTGATGTGGAAAAAAGAAACCTGAGCAGGAAAATGATGAATGTTCCTAAAATAACATTAAGGCCATGTTTGAAAAGATGTCGCCAAAGAGAAAGTCAAGACATATAATAATACAGAAAGTGTGTACTGTGAACTGAGGGGTTACTGTGGGGGCTGAGATAGTTCAGAAAGACACAAAGAGAACAACAATTTAAAAAAGGAGGGAAAGGGAAAAGGCCACAATCAGTGTCCAGGGTATTTACATGTACACACATGAATGAATATAGTAGTACAGGGGACAATGTAAAGTGAAAAGGATTCATGATGATAAAAATTAGATCGCATTCTGCACATTATCTTATACCTGAAATAATGTTTCTTTTTAAAAGACATGTTCATTTTTAATCTCACTTCTGCTTGCATTTCGTTCTGATATTATGCCTACCACTCAAATTTCTACTGTGGTTGAAATGATGACACATCTTCATTATGTTAAAGCTTGCTCTACATGACAACTAAAAATTGGGGGGGGGCAGTGGCGGGTGTGGAGTTGCTGCAGCAGACAAGGCATGCCAATGAGAAAAGTAAAAAAACCCACAGACCATAGGAAACATTTCTTGTCCAGAAACAAGTACCCTATAACTGTCGAGCAATGTTTTGGTCACTGGAGAGAGAATTTCTAAGACACTGGTTTCTTTAATCTGTAGAAGGTCTAGGTGATCCAAGTGCACAGTGAGAAACTAAGATCACCCACGTAGAACAATACAAAGCTTCATCATCAAGTTCTGTGGCAACTGCAGTTATAGGAAGCCTCAAGAGGATTTTTGCTATTTGCAGACTTTCTTTTAATGTTTAATATGAACACATCTAACACAAACAGCTATATATAATAAAAAAGAATAGCTAAACATTACAATATCAAATGAAAATTGCTTAGTCTAGGTTCATTTAATCAAAAAGTGTAAGAACCACTAGATTTTGGGACGTCTTACATGAGGACTTGGCTTCCATGTTCAGTTCGAGTTGTATTTTCTTTAAAACTCTTCCTAATTTGGGACATAAGATCTCTGAAGGACCATATGTCTGAATATGAATGCATGCTATCAGTAGGCTAGCTGTGCCTTAGCTAAGAGACCTGCTGTCTCAATTGTAGCACAAACATTGTGGAATAATTGCCCAGAAGTTGTTTGGAAGATACTTTCCTGGATTGTTTCTCATAAGGACATGTAAAACATTTATTTTCCAAAAGGCATTCAGTGATTGTTTATAATCACCTAGCTGGCCATCATAGTGACATGGGCTGGTTTATCTGTTTATCTGTTTTAATTTTGTTGTTGTTGGTTTCATTCAGAGTTCTTGTAAAGGTAAAGGTAAGGTTCCCTTGCTCGAAAGCCAGTCAAATCCGACTCTAGGGTTGCGGTGCTCATCTCCGTTTCAAAGCCGAAGAGCCAGCGCTGTCCGAAGACATTTCCATGGTCATGTGGCCAGCATGACTAAACACCAAGGTGCACGGAATGCTGTTACCTTCCCACTGAAGTGGTACCTATTTATCTACTTGCAATTTCTTGCTTTCGAACTGCTAGGTTGGCAGGAGCTGGAACTAGAGACGGGAGCTCACTCCATCATGCGGCACACTCGGGTCTCGAACTGCTGAACTACCGACCTTCCACAGCCTGCAGTTCAGTTCCTGTAAGCCACGCTAAACTCAGAAAGAGCAGGAATAAGCAGGGAAGCAAATAAAGAATTCTGCATGACTACACAATATTGCTAAGAATAGAGCAGCTGGTTATTTTAACTGGATTTGACATCTTCTCCACTGCAGATGTTCCTGACTATTGCACATCACTCAATTTCCATTAGCTCTAAAGAACATTTTCAGTTTCAGTCTATTTGCAAAACAATAGTACGGATTTGTCATCTTCTCCACTGCAGACGTTCCTGACTATTGCACATCACTCAACTTCCATTAGCTCTAAAGAACAGTTTCAGTCTATTTGCAAAACAATAGTATGTGAATGACTTCCTGCTGTTACCTGTGCCTTAATTTGACTTTTGCAGTTGGAAATTGAACAGATATCCCCCTGGACTCATTCCGGAGGTCTGTGATTTCCTTCAAATTTTTTTGTTCTGCATTCAGGGACACAGGGGTGTCAGCTGGAAGATTAAAAAAAATGTTTGGTGTAATATCTCTTATCATGGATAGATTTTTAAAGAATGAAAACTTGCTAGGTGGATTATTTTACACGGAGTTTTCATTTGTTCCCATAATTTGCAAGTATTTTTTCTTTAGACATCAGTTACAAGACTTCAAAAATGCTACGAACCATAGGTTATATAGTCCAGGGCAAAAAGTGGGGAAGGAAGCAGATGAGACCAGAGTTGAGGAGTTCAAAATGGGCTGGGGGGGAGAGAGATATCGAGATATACATAATTTATCAATATACATAAATACATGTTTGGTTATGTATATGAATATATGGCTTAATTTATACAAATCACAAATAAGGTGGGGGGGAAATGTACCATTTTATAGAGTAGGTAAGGGAATGCACGTTTGAATACTTTGGGGTGGGGGGAATCACAGGACATACAAAACTGCTACATCAGAGACTAGACTAGAACCCTTCTGTCTGGAAGCTATTTTCTACATGTAGGAAAGCGGATTTTTTTAAGAAGCAGCAGCAAAGAACATTCAGATACACCAGGCATGTCCAACTTCAAACAGGTAGTGATCTATTTTTTCCGGCCAAAAGTGCCAGTGATCTACCACCATGAAAAGAAAGTTTCAAATTAGTTTCAAATTAGATTTTAACGTACTAAAGTTGGGTTCCACCCCCCCCCCCAAACCACACATGCAGTTCTAAAAGTAAAAATAAGAATTCATCATACTGGCACCAATAATCAAATGCCACCAAACAATCATAAAAAAACCCCAAAGACCTGTCCAGCAAACCAGGAGACCAAGTGCAGCTGGTGATCTACTTCTGACCCCACTGCGATCTACTGGTAGATCGCAATCTACCTGTTGGACATACCTGAGATACACAATTTCCCCACTCCATTTGGGCTCTTGGATCTGCACCAAGGATTTACTGTAGTTGTGTGATATAGGTC